AATGTGCCTGTAAACAAAACCGAAATGAATAAATGAAGCGCTAATGATGAGTTGAAGTGAAAAGTGAATGTTTTGAATGCATTTGTTGAAGGAGCATTTTTTCGTTTACTTATCATATGTATATCATCAAATTCATACGCAACTTACTTTTAACACAACCCAAGCAAATACAATTGAATACACAAATCTATGCAGCACATTCATCAATTTCCAAGTTAATTTCTAACTACCGAGTTCTAATCCTGAAGTAAGTACAGCTGTGCAGATTGTTCATGTGTCGGAAAGAGCGCAGCTTCCAAATCCGTCGTTCACCTTTCTCATATCTGTTTTTTTATATTCCCTGTCCCCATACTCAACACTTCATCTGTCCAGTTAAGATTTTCATTTTTCTTTTCGCTGCTGAAATCCTGAAATTCGAATTTATTGGCGTATTTATCACGTCAGTTTATCATCCGTGAATTGCTCGAATGAATCAGACGTTGTAGATTGCTGTAAAATGTCATGTTCGGGCAATCTCTGCTTTTTGTTTTAGCAGCAAAGTTGTGATATTCATTGATCATATCGGAAATTTTGGTTGAAAGTGCATTCATCATGGTTTTTTTAAAGATATGAATGAAAAGGTGAATGAAACGAAAAATTTCAGATACGAAAACAAGTGCAACGAACGTTGATGATATTAGAAGGGTTGGGTGTGCCGTTCAATGCCATTGACATAACACTCCGTGGTAATGATAAAGAACGCGAATTCATGCGCGAAAATGCAATCAACGAACGTTGGGATGGTGTTCCTTTACCACCACAATTCTTCGATAATGATATTTACATCGGGGTTTGTTGATTGAGACTGATTTATGATTATTATTATTTATAATTAATCTCAGCGAAAGTCATTCGTTCTCTTTGTAGAATTACTTCGATTTTGAAGAAGCTGTAGAGGATAACCATCTACCGGAATTCTTACGTCTTATCCCAGCATCGTCTTCAGTAAGTATTTATTCTGTTTGAATAGTGTGTTGCTAGTGAATATTATGAAAAGAGGTTATTCATTCAATAATTTACAGGATAGCAAGTCGAATAAGAAACTTAACGATAATGCTGAAAGCGGCAGTCGCACGAGCGATCAGGTGCACATTCTATTTGGTTTTTGTTTCTCTTTGTCTTTTCTCTCTTCCATTTCAGCATTTTTTCATATCGTTTCCGCACCCGATCAATCGAACAAAAACAATTTTTTGTTTAAAATAATATCCAGAAATTTTTTTCTTCTTCAAAAGATCCTCCTCTACAGGTAATTTGAAACTAATTCAGTTTTTATAATAATTTTTTTCCTCCAAGTGTTTTTTCCATTCATCTGTGTGTATTATTCAATAATTCATATTGGATGACCGCACAATAGAACCAAAATTGAGTTTAGATATAACATATTAAATCTATCACGATTAATGCAAATGAATTGTTGATGAATGAATGAAATAATTTTGAATTTTAGTGAAGAGAAAATGTCGCGAGGTAAGTTTTAATGTTCGTAATATGGATTGTGTTGTTGGTGAAGAAGCATGATTGTTTTGTTGTTGAATAAGTGTTATTCATATAGAATTACTGTCAGTTCATTTTAGGAGACCGATAATGAAGAAAATGAGGAAGATGAAGATGAGGAATATGGCGACGAGGAGGAGGATGAAGGAGATGAGGAGGAGGAAGATGAAGGAGATGAGGAGGAGGAGGATGAAGGAGATGAGGAGGAGGAGGATGAAGGAGATGAGGAGGAAGAGGATGAAGAGCAGGGGGAGGTAGATCAGGGGGATGAGGAAGATGAGGGAGCAGAAGAGATAGGAATAGGTAAGAGGGAAGAGGAGGGCGAAGAAGGAGATGATGAGCAAGAGGATGAGGTAGAGGAACATGAAAAGGATGAGAGAAAAAAAACTGATGAACAACAGGACGAGGATCAGGATGAGGAAGAAGAGGAGGTACCTGAGGAAGATTTTGAGGATGAAGATGAAGACGCTATGTAAGTTATTCGTCACAATGATAAATGTTGTTAATGAATGCTGCTGCTGTACATCATCCATCCTACATGCGATGCTCACTTACATTCAGTTTCACGCAAATGTTTTGTCACAAAACGCATGCATATTCAGTCTCTATTGAAATTGTTGCCAATCAATTTCAATTTTCAATTCTCTGCAAATAAATCGCCTCCATACATTCTGAATTCATAATGCCATTCACACATAAAATGCTCATTTGTATACAAGTAAACTCTTATGCATTGAAGAGTATTTGATTGGAGAGTGTGAAAGAAGTTTTGCTGAGATGAAAATTACGCATAATTACTGTTCGTTTATTTTCATTGTCTTTCATTTGTTGGTTCATTGCACTCGCGCGTTAATTGTTCGAATTTTATTATCTTCTTCGTATTTCTTCTTAAAATTTATTTACGAGCTTCAACTGTTAACATCTTTCAACAGTTGAATAGATGTATTCTATGTTCGTTTCAAATCGGCAATCAGCTTTTGCCATTTTAATGAAAATATTTCTTTCATTCATTATTTTGATAACAACATTCACCATTCGTATGATCTCAGTCAAATGTACAAAGCGAAATAAAGATACCAAAAATGAATATAAGAGAACGATTCAAAACAATGATGCATTTTAACGTGTCCGCCATTTCAGTTGATTTATTTTAGAATATTCGTCTCAAAGTTAGAAACCTCAGATTTCGATTGAAGAACAAATTTTCATCTGTTTTGAAATGCGTTGTTTGTATGAGAATGTGCAACTTCTATGATGTACCTACCTATTGTGATATGTGTAAAGGTTCTTTCAGGCAGCCAATACTGCGATGTAATCGCAATTGGCTGTAAGACTGATGATTTCAAAAGAATGAAAATGTGACTGAGTGGGTCTTTACGTTACGGGTATCAATCACTAACATTTGTTATTTTCTTCAAGATTTAGCCGCACAAATACTAAATTATTGATGAATATTCTAAACGAGTGTATTTGGTAATCATTCATAATGTTGTTTATGAATAAATTCATTTCTCAAGAGGATCTGCTTGTTCATTCTTGCTATCTGACTTGCTTTTTTTGCGTCTTGAATAACAATCTTGAAAGAGTGACCGCCATCGAGGATGAAATATTTTTTAATGGCATCAGAGACGAAACTGAATGCATGAATTTATTATTTCTACGTATACCGTCGGGAACAAACGAAAAGCCGGTTCGGAAATTTCTCAGCAGCGTGAAAGAAATCAGCTTTATGTAATGGAACAAGTATTTTTAGAACTTTATTCACCACTGCAGAAACAATATGAACCTCGGCAATCAAAAACGAAAAATCGGTCATCTCATTCATAAGTATGGAAAATAATTTTCGCTGCAGAATCCCAAAGCAAAATGACCACATGATATACATTTGTCATAAAACAGATGCCTATGACACGATTGAGCAGTTACTTCATTCACAAAAATTCATTTACGAAACAAAAATTCCTTTATATACAGTAATTAGAAAATATACCATAACTTTTAAGTGCAATCAAATAATAAAAATGAATGAATTCAAAAACACTCGATTCTCCCACACCAAACCAATGATCTTTTCTGTCGTACCAATGAGTTCGATCATTTCTTACTGTTCATGAGAGACGATGTCAGCAAATGTATTAAAGAACTTACGAAATAATTGTGACTGCTTCAGATTGACTTTTGTTCAGATCTGGGCGAGCTGAGATGCTCAGAAAGTAGAATAAAGAAGTGTTTTTATGAGCGAACCGCGTTCAGATATCCAAGTGAAAAATACACTATGACAATGGTGTTTTATCATAACTAGCAACTGCACGAAATATTAATTCCCGACCCCCTCCATTAACCCCTCCCCATTTCCCTCGATATCCCCAAAACGAGTAATCTCACCTCCTATGAGAACCGCTGTCCTAGACCACTGTACTGCTCATTATTGCAACTGATTATGATTGCATGAAAAGCTATTGTCTAGGACACGCTCACTTCAAACTGATTTAGATGAATTCTCATTCTTTTCAGACGTGTTGTATTCACTCTCATAGCTATTACATGCGAATATCGTTCTCTTGATGAGTTTTTCTCATTCACTTCGTCTCATTTCACTTCACAGTTTGAATCAATTTCTTATTCTGTAGCATATACTATTTACTGGATACGTTGACGAGTGTTGAAAGCCGAAATCAACAATGCAGCAATTGAATTGAATCGCTCAACATCGTTCGACAGTCAAATGATCAATTATAGAGTGTATTTGATGGAATGAGAATTTGACTTTAATTGTTGAGTGAAATGAATGAGAAATTAGCAAAAGAGAATACTTTTGGTGATTGAAGCTATGAGAGCGATTGTAACAGCAAGAAAAGAATGAAAATTCTGTTAAAACAAATGAAAACCCTGTTAGGCCCGGACGAGCTAACGATACTTAAAAAATAGGAGAATGAAGAGTGCCATCAACTAACCTCTTCCACATACCCGAGTTAAAAACACCATCACGTGGCGTTCTATCATAACATAACAACTGCACGAAATACTAATTCCCCGACCCCTTCCATTGCCCTTTGACACCTCCAAATTACCCGAAATGGTAAATTTAACCTCTTATGAGAACCACTGATCTAGTTGAAAGTGCCTAGCGGAAATTCTACTAATTCATGCACTTCGAAATCAAAAAATGGTGCGGAAACGCGCAAACTATGAATTCACCATGTAAGCTAAGCACATGATGTGAACAAGGAAAACGATAACGGGTATGCTTTGCAGTTTATAAAGTTGACACCTTTGAATCGACGGTTTTGTTATTGTTTCGGCAAAATATCGTGAAGATATTTCAAAGTGGACGAATAAAGGAGGTTATGAAAAGCTGAAGTGAGACCGGGCATCAGTGAATGCTGTTGAAAGTAGGAAGTTCATTGTAACATTTGGTGCTTGTAAATCGAAGGGAGAGTTGCTTTAATAATTGTGGACTGCAAGCGACGGTCACCACATTTTTTACAAACTGTTCTCGAGAGATCGCCCCCAAATGATTGCTTTCACGTATTGCTTCGATTCCTCAGATTTGAATAAATGTAGAAATAATTGACTGATGAAAGCTTCCTTGGTGATTTCATTTGCGGAAAGAAAACGCGAAAGATGTTTCATATGTAGGTTTGGCAGTGATAGAAAATTAATGTCAAAGAACGCTTTTATTGTTAGTTAGTAGGGTATCATCTTAGATGGAAATGTGTAACATGTTTTTATAACTCGTACTGAATATTCAAATGATGTATTATTTGAAATTTTTGCTGATAAATTCGCTACAGATTTCCTATTCATATTCATGATGTTGTTTTGATTGGTTATTGTTTGGTTTTGTCTTCGTTTCATTTTTACTATGCAGTCATGAATGAGTCAAGAAACCAAAACGAGTTCGAACGATACTGAAACATGAAATTTTTATTAGGATTTGTGCTTCGCTACTTTATCACGCTTATGGTATTTTCCTTATTGATTTTCACTGTCGTTTCTTTGGGTTGAACTCACTTCACAGTTCCATATGAGTGATGATAATAAAACTATTTCACAGTTCACAATACAATAATCACCCGGCTTACATATCTTTTATATGCACCTTTGAAAACGTTAAAACAAATCAGAATTCCTGAAGATTACCAATTATTGTCGATTGACAAACTAAGAAACACTTTAATAGTGATAAAGTTGTAACCAGACCTGAGAGGACCAGTTCGTCTTCGATGCGCTGAATTGCTCTAAGTTATCCGATTCTAAGTGAAACTTCTTCTTTTCTAGATGAAGTCAGGGAAATGAACAAAGTCACAGAATCTCGCTGAAGTTATGAAAGATTGAGAGTTGACGCCGGACCTCTCAGGACTGTTCGTGTGATGATCAAATAAAGTCGTCATCTATCGATGTTAAGTTGTTTGTTACCAAAGGCGCCTGTGTGTAAACTGGATTTAAAAGTTCTTTACAGTAGAACAAAACACGATTTTGGAGGAAAAAATTTTGAAAATTTGAAAAATCAAAATTCGTACACTACGGTGGCTAAGGCAAAAAAAAATTAATGTAGGAACCAGGTAGACAGTGATATAGGTAGGATTTTTTTCAGGTGGGGGAAGAGCACGAAATGGTTTGGTCCCAAAAAACAACTTTGATACAGAAGGCGCAGCATGCATTCACGTTGGAATGAGCCGAGGCTGATCCAAAAGCAATGTTGTTATTTTTGATTGATGCATGTTGTGAGTTACCTGTGAACGTCTCTCAAGCGCATCAACTTGTGCTGTGACTGCATAGGATTAGTTCTGGCTAGGGCGCTTTTAAGTATGTGCGCACCAGTCTGTTCTCTCTTCTTTTGCTCAAGACCTATTGTGACGTCCAACTGATTGATTGTCCTTTCGGTTAACATGCCAGAAGTACTTCACATCCACACTTCCATATTCATCATTGACCTTCCAGCTAAGTGGTTAACAACTGGCGACATTATTTAAAAAAATTCCTGTTTCATTCTTCCCTAGACCACACACATTCTTACCTCTACGCTGTGAACCATATTCTGTGGCATCAAGTAAAGGAATTAAGTGTCTGATTTTCGAGTAAATTCGACGATTTTTAGGTGCCTTGTGGTTGTTGATCGAAGAAGATGGAAGATTCGTTGATTAAGATTTTTGTGATGAGTTCATTTTTCTGAATGTGATGATACTCGAGTTCTGGTAACGATGCGCTATGAGAGAGCAATGTATTCTTAAAAGATCATTGAAATAAAATGAGTGGAACTGATATTTTGAGGTGTCACCGTTTTTCAGTTTCTTCCTTCGTTCTACCACACAGTGCGATAACATGTCAGCAAAGGATGTTCTGTTTGAATTTTTAAGAAACAATCAAAAGTAGAACTGTCATTGATAATATAATCTTGATGCGAACGAACAAACTCTCGTTAGTCCGTAGATTTCAAACACCAATACGTGTCTGCTACATCCTCGCTTGACGG